TTTAATGAGGCAAGATAGCCTCTGAGATCCCTTTCGATGCTAGGACTGTGATCTTATAATTTTATATATTCAAAGACTTTCAGATTAAACCTCCAGCAGTTAGATAATCCATGGATGATTGGCCCCCCAAATCCATTTGACCAGACCTCTGCTATTGACAGTAACCTCATGTGATGTCCATCCACATGACTTATTCATGCATCCTCATTTTTATTCATACTCTTCCTGTAGTTGAAATGCTCCTGTCCCTCTCCCCATGTCCTATCTGCAATCTAATGAGCTCCTCTACATGAAGCCTTCCAGGATTGCCTCAGTTGGTAGTGATCTCTGGCTCATCTGAGCTCAGGCTCTGTAATCCTCATATGTTCAATATGGCTCAGGTTGTGATCTGTTACGTGAATCTGTATACATATGGATAGGTTGTGGTCTGTACTAATGAACTGAGTATTTACCATCATTAATGAAATTATAGAGCCATTTAAGAATGAAAAAGGACTCAAAGAGGCAACCTGGCCTAAGAGAAAAATTGCTGGGACGAAAGCTCAGAGACTTGGCATCCACTCAGGGCTTCGCCTATTTCCAGTTAGGTGGTTCTGGGTAAATATTTGACATAAAAAAGCACTTCCTTAGCCTTACAGTGCTGTAGAAATAATATGAGATAAAACACAAGTGAACATGTTATCATGTAACATAAAAGACAAATGAACATAGTAGCAAAATGGGCTAGAGCCATGATGACCTGGGTTGAAATCCTACTTCAGATGCCTGACAGCTGTATGGCCCTGAGCAAGTCACTCCAGTTCTCTGAGACTCAGTTTCTGGGTCTGTAAAATGCAGGGTTGGATTCTGTGGCCTCTAAGGTCCCTTCCACGTCTGAATTTAAGATTCTATAAATGGTTGATCTCTGCCCACTGAGTACTATTACTATGATTTCAATTCTTCTTCTTGAAGGTAGTGTTCAAGGCAGGGGAGAAAATGGAGAGATTGTGTTCCTATAGACTTCTGATGACTTCTGAGTTTAAAGGGAAAGCTTTCCAGTGGAGGAATGTCAGGTTGCCTGGCATTAGGTTGCTAGTTTGTCTCCTTGCCTCCCTTTGCCCAATCTAGCCCATCCTTTGGTGCCAAATTGATCTTCCTAAGGCAAAGGTCTGACCATATCACCACCACCCCTATTCAATAATCTGTAGCTCCCTATTACTGCCAGAATAAATGGAAATCCTCTCATGGCCTTTCAAGTCCTTCATAAAGTGTCTCCTTCTTACCTATTTATGCCTTACTCCTCCCTTCCTCACATACTCTGTGATCAAGTGATACCGTCTTCCTGGCTTTTCCTCACATGTCCCTCTCCCAACTCTGGGCATTTTCACTAGCCTCCCTCCACCGCTTGGCTTCCTTGACTTCCTTCAGGTCCCAGCTAAAGTTTTACCTTTCACAAGAAATCTTAACGCTCTTCTTCCATTGCTAATTTCCAATTTATACTGACTCTAGCTTGTACATAGGTCTTCACATCTTGTCTCCCCCATTAGATTGGGAGCTTCTTTAAAGCAGGGACTCCTTTTGCCTTTACTTGTATCCTGAGCTCTTTGCACATAGTAGGAACTTAACAAATGCTTGTCGATTGACTGATTATAATATATACTCAATAATTCTCCATCCAGCTTTTGCTTGAAGATTTCTATTGATGGCAGACTCACTGCCTTTCAAGGAAGCCCATTTCACTTTGAGACAGCTGCAATTTTATCAAGTTTTTGCTTACGTTGGCCCTCAATTTCCTTCTTTGTAAGAAGGCAATTATATTATGTAATGTATATATCACCGATATATGTATATATGTATAAGTGTATGTGTATATCTACGTATGTGTATGTATGTGTGGATGTATGTACATCAGAAAGACATAAATTCAAATCCAATCTCAGATCCATTTACTAGTTTTGGGTGATCCTGGGCAAGTCACTTCACCATCATCTGCCTCAGTTTCCTCAACTGTCAAATGAGGATTATAACAGCACCTACTTCCTAGGTTTATGGTGAGAATCAAATGGGATTATATTCTTAAAGTGCTTAGAACAGAGCCTGGCCCATAGTGGGTGCTTAATAAAGACTTATTTCCTTCCTTTCTTTTTCTCATTGCTCACTTTTCTTATATAGAAAGGTTACATTGGAGATTTTTAAATCACTGAAAACACCCAAACTAAAATTAGTGACGACAGATTTTTTTTTCCTTTAGTGATGAATCAACCAGCCATAACTGATTAAAACTAATAACTGCCACTCTGTTGGGTTCTCTCATATACAACTTTGAAAACAGAAAATCTCCCTGAATTCATTTGATGTTATGTTGTTCCAAGACAAATATCCCTTAATGATCCCCTTGTCCAAGCTCCCCATTTTAGAGGTAAGGAAATGAAAGCCCTGAGCAACAAAGTAGCAAAATGCATAGCTAATCAGAAGCAGAATTAAGACTGGAACTCATGCTTCTTGCCTCTCAGGACAGTACACTGCGTAGCTGGTCACAACACCTAGGTTTTATCACGGAATTTCAAAGTGGAGAGGGATTTCTGAGGTTATCCTGCCCATTCCCTGCCTGTAGAGAAATGACTCCTACACTATCTCTGACAAGTGAGTACCTAGTTTCTGCTTTCCCATGAGCATTTGTCTTTTGTGGGCCAGTAAGGGTTCCTTTTGTGCACGGGTTGCATTATATATTCACTCGGATCCCTCTTATCTCACAAAATCTGTGTCAGCATTTCTTCGATTTGGTGAAGAGGAAGTCACTACTTCCTTAGGCAGGCCATTTTAGTTCTGCGCAGTTTTGCTTATTCAGTCAGTCAACAAACATTTATTAAGTGCCTGCTGCGTGCAAGGCACTGTGCTAAATGTTGAAGATAAAAATATGAAAAAAAGGTCCCTGCCCTCAAAAAGCTTACAGTCTAATTAGGGAAGACAAGCCTAAGTGGACTTCTTTGAAACATTTTTTTCTGTTGCTTCTCGTTCTATCTTCTGGGACCATGCAGAGTACATTTAATCTCCCTGCCATGTGACAGTCCCTCAAATGTAATCATGTCCTCACCCCACCTTCACCCCCAAGCATACACCTGTTCTCTAGGCTAAGCACCCCCACTTGGTAGGGTCATAGATTCAAGAGCTAGAACAGACATTAGAAGTCATGTAACTCAACCTCTTCATTTTACAGATGAGGAAACTGAGGATTAGAGACAATAAATGACTTAGCATGAAAGATCAGAGGCCTAAAGCCAGAACAGACAACAGAGGTCATGTTTTCCAACCTTCCCATTTTGCAGATTAGGAAACTCAGAGCCAGAGAGGTTTATAATAATTAGTTTCTCAAGGTCACGTAGGAAATTTGATTAGATCCTGATAAGGCATGGTTTTGTAGCATGAAGACTCAGGCCATGCCATTTGACTGAACAACACTCAGAATAATTTTTTTTTTAAATAACTTTCACTTAAAGTGCTTTAAGGTTTGCAAAGTCTGCAAAATCTTCTGCATACCATTTCCTATTTGAGACTCACATCAATTCTGTGAAGTGAATCTTGTAATTGTAGTGTTTTATGATGAGAAAACTGATGAACCATTTGGATGACTTGCCCAGGTTTATACAACTGATATATGTCTGAGGTGGGATTTGAACCCACCTTTAAATCTAGCCTTCTATATACTACAAGGGTTCTTAACCTAGAGTCTGGGAACTTTTTTTTAAATGCTAGTGTATTTTAATGTATTTCATTTTAAAATTAAAATGTATCTTAAAATTGTATTTTATTTTACTCAATTGTGATGGTACACTCATGTAATCCCAGCTACCAGGGAGGCTGAGGGTGGTAGAATACTTGAGATCGAAGATACAGGATGCTAAGCCAATAAAGCATCGAAACTACGTCCAACATCAATATGGTAAACTAGTGGAGGAAGGGTCTGGGGAAAACCTAGGGAGGGGCAAAGCACTTTATATTGGAAATGGAGAAGGTCAGAACCCTCACGCTGATCACAAGTAGAATTAGGTTCTTGAGCGGCCCACTGCATTTTCAGGCTAAACACAGGGAGAACCAGTCTTAAAAAAAAGGCAAAAAATTAAATGATGAAAATTTAAAAGTGGATAACAATTTCCATATAATTGATTTCCTTTTTAATACTAAGTATTATTTTGTTCATTAAAAACATAAATATGTAAATGGGTCCCTAGTCTTGACCACATTGGTTCACACCACAGAAAATTTGAAGAACCCTAGTATTTTACCAAGATGCCTTGATAAAGATGATATTCTACACCTGTCTCAGGTAAAAATGGAAAGAAGAGAAAGAGACCTGCCCATGCTTATTTTTCCTCTTAAAAATCCCATTGGAATTCTGTGATGAAAGAACGTTTTCAAACCCTAAATAATTATCTTCAATCCAAAAGAAAACCCACTTGGGTTATGGCTTTTCCTGTGCACACATATATGTGTGAATGTTAGAGCTGCCCTTCTCAGATGGTACCTAGTCAACCCTCTTCATCTGGAAGACTAGGATTCCTTTTCAAGTATCCATTGGACTGGATGCTAAGCAGCACACATGGAGTCCTGTAGAACTGAATTTGAGCACAGTGTCAGACAGTTCCTGAGCAAGTTACTAGACACCTTCTAGCTTCATTTTCCTTACCTGTAAAATGGGGATAATAGCACCTATGTCTCAGGGTTGTTGTGAAGATCAAATGTGATAACGTATGCATTTTAGAAACCCTCACTTGCTCTAGAAACAATGGTTACAATTATAGTAACGGTTATAATCATTAGATGCCCTTTAAGGCCTCCTCCAACTCTGGGATTCTGGGATTCCTAGAAAACTGAGGCCCACTGAGGTAACTTCAAGCTCACCCAGCTTACCATAATAAGTCTTCCATCTTAAAATCCGCAAGCTCAAAATCTTTCCCAGGTGCTCAACTGAGCAGAACCTTTTTTTTCTTTCTAATTTTGCCTCTGTTCTTTGTTTTTAACAGTGAGCAAGACATGGTGGCCGCCATTGAGAATTAGACCTTTGTGAATGAGAGACATTTCCACACGCCACAAAGGTAACTGACTTTTTCCATTTCCAGTGATGTGAAACTTCCTTCTTAATGTGTCCTGGACAGGTTAGATGTCCGTCCTCATTTTTCCTCTTGAGCGAGGTTGTTGGGGGCTCTTCCCCTATAATTGCTTTATCCTGTCTGCTTTGTGTTTGTGACTGGAGAAAATGAGAACAGTATTTCTATATCAGTTGTTTCTCTCTTAGTGAGGAATTGTTATTATTGGAGGCCTGCCACATTTGCTGATCGCCTTCAGCCAGTTTGGTAGACAGTTCTGACTGGAGTCATTTTCAATATCTCTGTGTTACCTGAGTTTTCTACCCTTCTTTATACTTAGTGAGGAAAAAATGCTCCCCAGCAATGGGACTGGGAGGGTGGGGTTGGAAAGAAAGTCTCACAGTTGATAAGATGAATGGCATCATATACAAAAACCATTTGGGAATTTACTAGCAGGGAGATGGGGTTGTTAATACTTTGTGTCTCTCAACTTGAAAATGATGAGGGAATGTGTCCTGCATTGGCCAATTGGAAACACCTCTTCTTTTGACAAATTGGAAGTATTCAATCTAATATCTATTTCTTGTTTACTGAGTATAATGTGGAATGAATCATGGGCTGGTGGATGGATGGCCTTTCAAACACTTTTAATTAGTGTTGTGGGCTATTTGAATGAGCCTGGGTGGCTTCCTCTGTCATACATTACAACCCACCACCTTTAAATGGAGGAGAAATCTTATTTTCCACAAGGTAATATTCATCTCTCCCCCAGCCAGACAAGCATAGAAAATTAAACAATGGTCCATTAAAAAGCCCAGAAAATGTATTTATCATTCCGAATTTATGTGAATTTTGCAAGGCAAATAAGAGTGAGAGCTATTTGTTAGTCGACCTTGGGGAACATATGGAGGGGAGGGGAGCATGGAGCCTCTGATCTTTGTAAAAAGTCATAAAATAGAGGAGTAGCCAGCAGAGAGTAAGGCCAGTGATGACTTAGAGGGACCCAGAGGTCACCGTTCTTTCAAGGCACCTTTTGGCCCATCCCAGGCCTGTGCAGGGGGCCATAGAGGTCTGAGATCCTTCACCACTGCTAGCTTTTGCCTCTTCTTGGGTATTTTCAAGTAGCGTGTTATTGATGAATGAAGGCAACACTGATGCCACACTTTCTTAGCAGTTGGAATTAAGTGACCAACCAAAGGAGTCTCCCTCAGTGAGATTAGCAGGTAAGCAGATCCAGCCAAAAAAATGGAGTGGGCAGCTTGGAGATGGGGGTGGGGGGGTTCTGCCCTGCAAATCTTCAGAAAGAGACTAGACAGCCACTAGATCAGGTGTTAACATAATAGTGATTCCTTTTGCATAAGAATTGAACTAGATTACTGCTGAGGTTCCTTCTGCCTCTACAATTCTCTAATGCTGTGATCCTGCCATTCAAATAGTTCTCTCATCAAGACTCTGTGCTATTCCTCTTTATTCTCTTTCTTTTATTTCATATCTCCTTTTATATGTACTTGTTCTATCTTATCCTCTATACACAAAGATACCTATAGTGTGTATGTGCGAGGATATATATACATATTTATGTATGTGAATAGCTGTGTGTATATAGATATATGTTCTGTGTATTATATTTACCTATAAAAGTATATGTGTGTATATATAAGCATGTGTGTATATGGGGATGTGTATACACACACATATGTACATAAATATGGAGTATATATGTGTGTGTATATATATGGGTTAAATATATGGGGCTATATATGGTATTTATGCATATGGGTGTATGCATGCATGTATGTATGTGTGTATATATATATATATGTATATATATGGGTGGGGGTGTACACACTGGGTGTGTATATATGTGTACACATGGATATACATATGTATATTTATATACATGTATATATCGATTTATTTATAGATATATAGCTCATCACACAAATGCGTTTCCATATATGCATGTCTGTCTGTATGTATCTATATATATATATAATCTATACAATCTGCATCTTTCCATAGACACACACATATGTATGTGTATGTGTGTGTGCACACATACACTCACAGACATAACACTCCTATCTAAAGGGAGAAAAGACTGAGTTTTGATACAAAATAACTTGTGTTCTTTTCCATCTATGAAGTCATATTCTAGCATAGAGGGAAATAGGTCTGGCAAATTAAGACTTTGTCCCTTGAAAAAAATCTTTCTCTTTCTCTCTCTCTCTCCACACATACATACATATCTATATATTCATATATATACATACATACACCAAGCACATATATGCACACATGTATTTGTGTAAATACATACATACATACATACACTTGTTCTCACCCTGTTGCAATTAAGCTCCATCAGAATAGGGATGATCTCATTCTTTTTGTATCCCCAGTACCTAGCGTAGTGATGGGCACACAGCAGTATAGAGAATAGAGAAGGGACCTGTGATATCACTGGTAAATGGAATTCCCAGGTGAGGAATCCCCCTTCACCAATGAAGGTCAGCAACTTCCCTATAACTTAGAATAATTTTCAAAAGTCCACTAAGGTGCTAAGAAGTAAGATGACTTGACTTGAGTCACAGAGCTGGGTTGTATCAAAGGTAGTACTTGAACCCAGGTTTTCCTGGTTTGGAGGTGTGGCCATTATCCACTACAAGGTCCTTCAGCTTTGAAATGCTTGTGGATTGATTGGTTGATTGAATGATTGATCTTAGAAAACATCATCATTTAGGACCTTAAGCTATCTGGGCCTTAGGAATCTTCTCATCCCTCATGTGATAGATGAAGAGAATGAAGGTCAGAAAATGAAAGTGACCAGCCCAATGCCATGTAAGCAGTGAGCAGCACAGTCAGGATTTGAACCCAGGTCTTCTGACTATAAACTTGCTCTTCTAAGGACATAACATTGCTGCTTTAAAGGGAGAAAAGACTTTTTTTTCTTTGCTTTTTGGTGAGGCAATAGGGGTTAAGTGACTTGCCCAGGGTCACACAGCTAGTAAGTGTCATGTGTCTGAGACTAGATTTGAACTCAGGTCCTTCTGACTCCAAGCCCAGAGCTCTATCCACTGCGCCACCTAGCTACCCTTAGAAAAGACTAATTTTTGATATAAAATGAATTCTGGTCTTTTCTGTCAAGGAAGCCATTCTCTAGCAGAGGGAAATAGGCTAGGAAAATGAAGACTTTGTTCTTTGCAAAGACTGGGGAGGCATAGCTCCTGGAGTCAGTCATATTTCTGGATAACCTACAGAGAAATAAAGCCTTAGAATAAATTTTGCCTAAATACATGTCAAGAATCCCAGTAATAGGCACAGATTTCAAAATTTACAATCTCCCAACACCATGACTGCTCTGTCAAACATAAAAAAGGGGTAGGGGCAATAGCTCAAATACACACTTCTGGCCCCACCCCCAGCTAAAGCTCTAGCTATGGATACATTCCAGGAGTTTAGGAGGATTGAATGGTATAATGCATGGAAGGAGCTTAACCAAACTTCCATCACTTTGTACATGTCTGCATCTCTGGAAGGAATTCCTCAATCTATCAGGTTACCAATGTCTTTAGATAGTAAAGTATTATCATTGTTGGCAGGATGTAATCTGATACTGGAAAATGAACTATCTTTTGAATCAGAAAGAACAAGGTTTAAGTCTTGCGTCTAATACAGGGTTGTTGTGTGACCCTGGACAAGTTCCTTAAACTTTCTATGCCACATATTCACTGGCACCGGCAGTCATTCAGTCAATGAGCAGGTATGAATTGATTGCTATATACTAGACCCTGAGCTAAACCAAAGGAAGAGGGGAAGAAAAAGCAAAAAGGACTACTGCCCTAAAGGAGTTTACAGTCTAACTGGGAGCATTTACATATGTAAATATATACAAAATATATTCAAAATTAATATACTATACTGTAATACAATATCATATAATATCATATAATATAATACAATATAATACAATATAATATAATATAATATAATATAATATAATATAATATAATATAATATAATATAATATAATATAATATAATATAATGTAATGTAATGTAATGTAATATAATATAATATAATATAATATAATATAATGTAATGTAATGTAATGTAATGTAATATAATATAATATAATATAATATAATATAATATAATATAATATAATATAATATAATATAATGTAATGTGATGTGATGTAATGTAATGTAATGTAATATAATATAATATAATATAATATAATATAATATAATATAATATTAGTATAGTATAAAAGGTTGTTTGGTAAAAATCACTAGGGGGATTAGGGAAGGTATACACCAAAGGCTTGGTGAGAGTTTCCCGTATTATAAGGAACTAAGGGAGGCATGGAAGGAGGATGGAAAAAAGGAAGGAGGAAGAGAGGAGGAGAGAAACAGAGGAAGGGAAAGAAAATGTCATTGAAGAACATGGGAGGTTAACACTGTTGTAGTCTGGGCTGACAGCAGCAATTCAATTCAATTCAAACCAATTCAACCTATCAACGAGAACTTACTATGTGCCAAGTACCATGCCAGTCTTGGATGATACAAATATTCAGTATGATCCAGTCTCCCAATTGATGTGGTCAATGCCTACCATATTCTAGACACTGTGCTAGGTGTCTGAGATCCAGAGACCAAAATAAAGCTCCTGTCCTCAAGAAGCTTCCATCATAGAGAGGAGCAAAGGACAGATAGGGAACTATGCCAGTCTTTCTCGTTTGTGGAGCAGGCCTTTTCTATGCTATCAAAATACTGGATACCATGAAGGGTCTCGGAAATATGCTCCAGGCCTTGTAGAACCATGGATGTTGAGAACAATAAAAGAAAGAATCTCATTCTGGAATCATTTTTTTTTTATTGAAATACCAGTGGTTGGTATTGTCAAGAGCAAGAGGTACCCCCCATCCTCCCATGCATACACAGTCACACTCATTCAATGACAGACATTTAAATGACTGTGTTCAAGAAAGTTCACAAAACTTGGCA